TTATTGCGCAATTCTGATAAAGTCTGGCAGCATGCCTTCTTAGACTCTCTGACTAGGCGGCGTTGGGTTCTGGAATCGATAATTTTGGGTCTTCCAGGTATAAGGAGGTTTTTTGCATCACCCCTCTTTTGGAAGCAGTCATGGAAAGTTTGAACAGTACTCTTTGGACGGTTTAAGAGCTCTCCAATCTCTCCAAAAGAGATTTTTTTTTTTTCTCAGAGCAACTATTTGCCCTTTCTCAAACTCTGTAAGGTAGCCTGTCTTGTGTGGAGGCATCATGGTTGAGGGGTGGTTGATTGTAGGAGTGGGGTGTTTTGAGGTGTCGTGTGGTAACCACCCATCGTATGGATCCTTTTGGCCTAGTACTTTAGTAGTACTATCCAATACCTCTAGCAGTTACTTGACTGCAAATCCACTGTTCCGGGACCTAAGTCTGAATAATTACATAGGATAACAAATCTTTGAGTAGTCACCAAAAATTGCTTCCAAATAGAGGGGAAATGTGTAACCCAATACTAACTTTCCTATTTATTTCTCAACCTTCAATTACTTTCACATTTCAATTTATAATTAATAGCCTGTTCCCCGCCTATTTCGCTTCGCTCATAGTCGGGAAAAGCAAGCGTGACGCAAAAGCTATTGTATCATAATACGACCTTTTTTTAATTAATCGGGTGATAGTTTGTGATTTAACTCTATGGCGGAAACACTTCTCCATTCATTCTATTAGATTATATTGTGGAAAATTCCAATTTTGGAGACTAGTTGAAATAATATGGTTATTTGACAGGATACCCCTCTTTAAATCCAAATTTGACAGAATGCCACTGAAAAAAAATGTTTGATAGAATGCGACCTACTATGTATTCTTCTACCAAATCTTTTTCATATAGTTTATCTCATATTCAATCATAGTAGTCTGACATATAATAAAATATAATAAGTGATACAAGTAAATATATTATAGTAATATACAAAAGCAAGTACTAAACATAGGATTCTGGGTATATTAAAATACCATATTCAACTATTATAACTTATTCTGCCTCTCTGCTCCATATTATCTAAATATAAAATAGGTGAACACTTGTCAAACAAAATTTCACAATATTATACAAGTAATAAGGTTATATTTCTTGATTTTTATT